TTAATCTCGGCCTTGTGCCACAACTAAGCTACATCACTAAATCACTATCAGCAGGATGAGGCTTGATGCACGCCTACCGAGAAAAATCTCACAGGAAATTCCATTTCATTTCCCTTCATTTTATACATTTAATTTGTATCCATGTACAGTCAGTACATCATAAACAAGATGAGAGAGGGGGGAGTCGGAGTGCGCATGCGCATGAGAGAGAGAGAGAGGAAGAGGAGGAGGAGGAGAAGAGAACATACCAGAGAGAATAAGAGAGAGAATTCTTCTTCTATGTGCCGCGTCATGGTGGATCATGGTTCTCCACAACCTCCTATCCCTTATGCCCCTTAGCAGTTTTTCTTCCTTTGCTAAGGCTCCTGCTCCGACTTCATTCCGACATCCATCACACAACCCCTTCAAGTAAATGGCGCGATACCTTCACTAATCTCTCTTACTTTCAATATGCCCCGTGAGGGTTAAATTTTCCAAGACTTCATTATCTATCCAAGGAATTTCAGCTGTTTTTTTTTTTTCTGATTCTGAGCATAAATTTTCTTTTTCCTGCCATTTTCTTTAAGATTTTCTCGTTGCTTACGCGCTCCGTTTATTGAATTCTCAGTATCCTTCTGTAGCACCACATTTTTGTTCCCTCCAATTTAATCCACATCCGTTGAGGGAGATCGTTTAGCATCCACTGCCATATAAGAGGATGGATATCACATTCCAATCCAGCACTCTACTTTTGTTTATAATATTTTTCTTTGTGTTTCTTAGGACTTTGCTTAGCTTTTGGAATGCTTCTTTCGCTCGTCCAATGCATACTCAGATCTCGGTTTCGTATTTTCCGTCATCTGTTTAAAACACTACCTCAACATTTAAACTTCCGTACTAGCTTGATGTTGGTATCTTCAATTTCTAACACGCATCTTGATTATTTTTTCCTATTGCTGATGCCTATGCGATACTATGGACACTCACCTAGAAAGGTAAGAAATAGTTTTTTTATCCCGATCTCAACCATTTTTGTTTGATGAACCAGCAGATAGTTCCTTTTGAATTTCGGTTTTATAATCGGCATCCACTTTAAACAAAGGGTAATGTGAAGTATAAAATATCTACATGCAATATGGAAAACAGGGTTCGAGTCCTCATTTCTCGACGTAGTGTTTATCTTTCATCGTATTACCTTTTGATCAGTGAGTTCTTCCACAGCTTTCGGTGCACACCGACAAAATTGAGGATTGAAATGCAATGTGGAGTGAACATTGGCTGGTCGGTGATTGGTTTGGTTTTGTTTGGTTTGTTTTACGGTATATCAACCTCAATGGGTTATTTAATGCCGACAAAATTTTTATTTCTGGTAATTATTTTTTTTTTTTTCAAACATGTCTTGCTAGTAAGATTTTTCCTTCAAAAACATCTATTTTTGATAATATTTTTTCAAAAAAGAATTTCTGGTATTTTTTTTTTTTTTGCCTAAAATATATTGCTGATAATAATGTATTGATGGTAGTAATTTTTTTTCTTTTACAAAGTATTTCTGGTATTAAGACCTATTTTTACACTTTCATAGTGTTTTGACCCCAATTTGGGGGTTAACTATTTGCCCATAGTTGGGACCCTAACAGGTGCTACCACCCCGAGTGAGAGTGGACCTGGGAACACCAGCAATTAAGAGGTGGTTCCACGCTCCTCAAAGCCTTCTGATCAGAGGCCTTGCTGTTGGATATAGTTTATCGTCTTACCCAGGACGCGGATGTAGTTTATCGTCATACCCAGGACGTTGGCTGGTCGATGAAAAACCGGGACGAGGATCACGTTTTATATTTGCAACCACACTTTCCGTCTTCTTTCAGTTGATTGTTAGCGTTTTTTATCACGTGTTTTTATTCCGTTAGGACAGCCTCTCTGTAAAGGTTGTGTAAATCTGGGAAGAAGACACTTCCTTGTGTTCTATTCCATTCTATTTTTGTGTAGCTACTTAGTTATTTTCTGTCCGTATGCAGGTGGTTTGCTCATACTTCTTGACTATTCTATAATCCTTCCATGAAACATCTAGTTTTTCTAGCAGTGCAGACAGATCCTTGCGTCATACGTTGTCAAATGCATGGAATGAATGCTTAACAGGCGTTAAAGAATTCGGAGCGATTATGAAAAGGTCAGGATCAGTGACTGAGAAAGAAAACGCAAATGGATGCAATGAAAATGGAGACCAATTTTGGATTCTTTATATATTCGATATCGATGAGTCTTGGTTGTGGTGGGGGAGAATTATTGATTAAATGATTAAAGAAAGAATTTTATGGATACATATTTAGTTACTGAAATTATGGCCCCAGCCCTGCAATTTATTGGCATCGTTCGATTATTTATTATATATTTGACCTAAAATTGCTTTGAAATTCATTGAATATATATAACTGATATTATTCGAGTGAGAAACGAAGAGGAGGAGTGGGAAATATTGAAGAAGGGGGAGTAGGAGAAGGTGGAAAATGAAAGGATTTCGGACAAAAGAAAAGCATCAATAGCAGGCGCATAGGCGGGAAAAAGAGCATAATTTTAATTCTGGTGCAAAGAAATTATCTTATTGGATTAGAACTTAATGCGAGTAAATGAAGTGAGTCAGCCTGATTTGGGCAAAGGAATAAAGTTAGTTTGTCCATACTGATATCCAGAATAATGGCACACCCTCTTTATCTATCTATCTATCTATCTATCTATCTATCTATCTATCTATCTATCTATCTATCGCAACCTCTTTACTATCTGTCTTTTATGGAGGATAGCATCAGCCAAGATGATGGAAGGCATCCAGGGGTCTCTCAGATGATTACTGGAGAGTACTTTAGTTTTGAAGGTGTTAAAATTAACAAGGCATCTTTTTTCTTCCAGTTAATTAAAGAACTTGAGGTCGTTTTGGATATCGGCTGCCACTTTGACTTTGACTGAATGATAAGCCTTAATATCGAGGCAGTTGTTGTGTCGTCAGTGCAGAAACCAAGTTGAGAACCTGATGTCATCTGGAAGGTCATTAATGAAAATTAAAAGCAGAGAAAGACTGAAGATAGTGCACTGGGGGACACCTGCATTAGTACGAAAGGATTTAGACAAGTGACCGTCCATGATAACTCTCATTTCGCGATTTGATAGGAAGGACTAAATCAGTTCAAAAAAGTATCCGGAGACACCGTAACTTTTCAGCATGTGGTGAATACTTGAATGACAGAGCCTGTCAAAGGCTTTCGAGATGCCCAGTGCAAGAATAGAGTTTGAGGAGAATTTACGGGCAAAGCATTCAGCTTTATCAGCAGGGGACGATCACACCTCATATTGATTGAAAAGTGGAGGAATACAGACCTTACACTTATTTAGTACCATATTACAGTGTCATCAGTAATCACGAAAGCCAAAATTATTAAAGGCCATGCAGTGATTTATTCTCTCGGCAAACAGGGACTTCGCTCCTTCGAGGACTCGCTTATATTTATTGCGAGCAGCAACGAATAGGGGCCTGTTGTGAAGAGATCCGTCACGCTGCTATAGCCGAAAATAGGGGTTCGTGCGTGCTACTATCTATCTATCTATCTATCTATCTATCTCAGTCTGTTTCTGTCTATCTATTTCAGTTTGTTTCTATCTATCTATCTATCTATCTATCTATCTATCTATCTATCTATCTATCTATCTATCTATCTATCTATCTGTCAATTCCAGTCTGTTTCTATCTCAGTCGGTTTCTATCTATCTATCTATCTATCTATCTATCTATCTATCTCTATCTCACCATGTTTATCATCTCTCTAGGACATTTTATTATCTATCTATCTATCTATCTATCTATCTATCTATCTATCTATCTGTTTGTCTGTCTAGCTAGTTAGCACTTTAACGTGTGATATTGGCTATTCTTTTATAGTTTAGTAAAATATATTTCTATTTACCAGACAAAAGAGAATCTTTGATTGTTAAAGATAATGTTAATAATTATCATTACTTTTTGCGGAACTGCACATATCATCCGCAAAAACCCCTTCCATCTAAACGAAACGTTTCAAATGTGCATAGATAACTCTCCTACAATACCGTTTTTATTCATAGATTCCGGAGGGACTTGGCAATTTGCCATTTGAAATTCCTCTCTGGCAAGACACTACTACTACTACTACTGCTACTACTGCTACTACTACTACTTCTACTACTACTAATAATAATAATAATTCCATGAACACCACCCAGATCCGGTTACGGATATAGGACCTGTTACAATTCTATGGGACTACACAATACGCACTGACAGAACAATCAAAGCCAACCGCCCAGACATTGTCATTAAAGACCACAAACAAAAAATTGCCTCCTTATTGATATGGCAGTCCCTGCTGACTGCAATGTATCTTTGGATATTCAAAAAGCTGTCAAAATACAAGGACCTTGAAATAGAAATCTCAAAAATGTGGCACATGGGAATATCAACAATCCCTGTTGTAGTTGGAGCCTTCGGATTGGTCGGCAAAGATTCCAGTAGACTAATTGAAGGGATTCCTGGAAGCCCATACCTTAAAGAAATACAAAAAATTGTTCTCACGAGTACAGTCCACATCTTACGAAGGGCTTTATCTATGTATTTTTTTTCCAGTGGAAAATGTCATGATGCCATTTCTAACCGGCGGGACCCGGAAATAAATGAGTACACATCAGAAATCAAAGGAAATAAAATAACAATAATATTAATAATAATAATATTTGCATAAACAAATATAGCTACAAAGAGAGAGATATACATGGCAAATTATTTCATATTTTACCAAAATATTTTGTAATAAATTAAATGTCAGATTTTAAATTTTAAGATGAAAATTATTTTGTAATCTTAAAAGAAAGCAAAACAATTTTCTCTTGGTTTTCCAATAAATTATACTCATTAAATTTTCAGTTTTGTTCATAATTCCATGAATTAACACCTATACAATATATAAAAAAATCTTCCCACCTGAAAGAATAGATAAGGATTAAGAAAACAGGAAAAAAAAAAAAGCAATAATAACAAAGCATCTTACTTGTATTAATATTAACGTGCCTGCAATGACAAGCTGTGAACAGGAACTCGTGCATGGCGGCAGATTGACGGATTTTCGTCCCGATTTGAATATCCGGTGAATCCGAATTGTTTTGACAAGAAGCGGAGCGTAGACTAGTGTAAAACTGAGATTAAAGCCAACATAATTAATGTAACAGACGACATCGCTGGGAGTAGCCATGAAGCTGAAAACGAGGAGGTAGGCTACAGAAATGCCAAGAAGCATTAATTGACTAAGTTCACGACTGGAAGCTCGTATTGGCCTGTCGTTTCGATACTGGAAGAAAATCATAACAATCGATATACAGACAAATGACCCGAACGATGCCACCGAGCAAGCAATAATGGCCGTTTTATCACCGAATTGCGAGAAATGCGGTGCTATTTTCTCACAGTTGTTCTGCCGTTCGTCTACTGGCCAATAAAATATGGGGCACATTTTGCAACTAGAAAAGTTTCCGGCGGTGATTTCATTTTCTTTGCACTTTCGACATTCCCAGCAGCAAGTTTCTTTTGTGTAGTAATAGATGGACCCAGCGGGGCACGGGGCACCGCATGTTGACACAGGGGGCGTTCGCGAGAAATTACGATGGCTTCCCGGTACCGGCCAGAGAAGTTTTTTATTTTCGATTTCCAAATGGTTGGTTCGCATGTCCCACGACCCCACCGAGACGTATTCTACTTGACCGTTCCGGCCGACCTGATATTGAATAATCTCGTACATTCCGACTACATCTCCGTTCTGGTCGAACGAAATCTCTCCGTACGAACCATTGAACGTCAGGTTCCTCATATGCTGACACAGGATAACGGGCTGGACACACTTACGTAGCTCTTCCCCGATCGCCCCGGGGCATCGCTCTTTAATAAGTAAATCTGCTCCCGTGGCCAGCGCGTTCACAGCGTCGATATAAAAGCCAGCCGGTATGTACATGTTAAAATCGTCATTGATGGAGCTGTTTACCGTTGGGTGTATTCCGAACGCCGTTTTTTCCGTGGGCGGAAATCGCCTTTTCATTCTTCTATCACACTCCTGTTCGAATTCTTCGACCAGCTCCGAATATGGCCGTACGGTCAAGGATCCTACAGCCATGTGCTGTAGATCATACGGCAACCCCAGACTGAAAGAATCGCTGGCAACCCAGATATACTCTTGCTCTATTCCCATGGCCTTCACGGATCGTAGAATTAATTCTACGTCGACGATTTCAATATAAAGCACGACCACTTTGGGAGATTTGGGGCCACGCAAAGTGGACATTGTTTTTCGCATGTCATCAGCTGATCGCTCGTAGCCAATCTCGAGAGTCTTTGAAATGCAGATACCTTTTTGACCAAGCACGGATTTGAGTCTTTTCACCCCTTCGCGTCCGTAGCTACTGTCTGTAAAAATAACCGACACGTGTGACCAGTTGAAATACTCTAAGACGACGGAAATGGCTTCCACTTGGTAGCGATCAGCCGGCACAACGCGCATAAAGTTTGGATAGAGTTTCTTGTTACTTAGTACATCACTTGTTGACGTGGGGCTCACCTGCCAAGGAGACAAAAGAGAACAAGATTAGTAAAGAATTTACAGTTTGCGATACTTTTGTTTTCAGAGAATAATCATTAATACACTTATAGATTAGTTATTAACGACTTTAATCTTTCCCCTGTCATCCCACAATCCATTCATTCTTGTGTCAGTCGTAAAAATACCTCACTATTTTATTAAACCGTCTATCTTGAAATTAACTTGTAGGAGATAGGATAGATTTAATAATGAAAAGAGCAGCAGAGGTTGTTTGTGGGTGAAACATACTGAAGCATTTTTCTTTTCAAGTAGCAGCATCAACAGTCAGACTTGAAAAATAACACGGAAATTTCTCTAGATATGGAAAAAAACGGAGCATCTAAAGGATGGTTTTTCCCTTCACCCCGCTATTATTTTAAATACCTTCACTCCTCAGCAACGTTTATTGTTTTAAAAAGCAATGATTAGGATTGTAGTAAAACCAAAACATATGAAAGTCAATTTATCCATTTTCTCTGTTCTTGAGAAGTGACAACAAAAATAATAAACAATATTTATTCATTAGATTGTTTATTTACATTATTTACTTATTTTATTATTTATCGGAATGGTTGGAAATGACCCGAAATGACCCGAACGATGCCACCGAGCAAGCAATAATGGCCGTTTTATCACCGAATTGCGAGAAATGCGGTACTATTTTCTCACAGTTGTTCTGCCGTTCGTCTACTGGCCAATAAAATATGGGGCACATTTTGCAACTAGAAAAGTTTCCGGCGGTGATTTCATTTTCTTTGCACTTTCGACATTCCCAGCATCAAGTTTCTTTTGTGTAGTAATAGATGGATCCAGCGGGGCAAGGGGCACCGCATGTTGACACAGATTTATTAGATTGTTTATTTACACTATTTACTTATTTTATTATTTATCGGAATGGTTGGAAATAATAAACACGGAAATTTCTGCATATATGGATCTGCGTGACCGCAAAAAACGAGCCATCAAAAGGATGGTTTTTCCCTTCACACTGCTATTATTTTAACTACCTTCACTCCTCAGCAACGTCTATTGTTTTAAAAAGGTATGATTAGGATCGTATTAAAACCTAAACATATGAAAGTGAATTTATCCATTTTCTCTGTTCTTGAGAAGTGACAACAAAAATAATAAACACTATTTATTTATTAGATTGTTTATTTACACTATTTACTTATTATATTATTTATTAGAATGGTTGGAAAGACTAATTGATTCGAAATTTATGAAATGACAATAATAAGAATTGCCGTATAGTTGATTCCCATATTTTAATAATCTAGTAAATGTTTATAAATTTGTGAATAAAAAATTGTTTTCATATTTATTTCTTTTTCAATTGATAATATTGCATTGCATTAGTTTGAACTGTATTAGTTTTTAGAATGTTGTAAATATAAAATTATTCTTGTAAATAAACAATCTGATAGTGTTAAACATTTTTCTTGTAAATTTTCAAGAAAGAAAAAATGTATAAATTAACTTTTATGATATGTGCAGGTTTTATTGCAATTCTCATTATCGCTTTTTAAAGCAATAAACATTGCTGAGGAGTGAAGATTTGTTAAATTAATAGCGGTGTCAATGGAAAAAACTCTCCTTTTGAATCTTCTTTTTTTTTTCTTTTTTTTTTTTTTGGCGGGCATGAAGATTCAAGTTTACCAAAATGTTTATCGGACACATCCAGCCATGTACATATAAGGATTCGACCATAGTCTGGATCAATGTGAACCATCCTTTCATTAACAGCATAGTATGTGCCATGGCTACATACAGTTTTGAACTCAGAGTTTTCCTCCCCCAAGACACATTCTGTCTACTATTTACCCATAGCTGGGCGGAGAAGATTTGGATTCATGCCTTTCTCAAGTGTATTAACACGTAAATGAATGTAATGAACTCGACTGGAATCCATTACTCTACCGCATTTAATAGGAAGCTCTTTTTGTATAGCTATAGATAGAAGGCTACGCGAGCAGCTCTTTGACGTCAGTTCGATTTTCATTTTTCTTCCGTGAGATGTAGCTAAGCTTAGTAACTATGTAGATTATAACAGAAGAGTAAAGAGTAAAGGTCAAGTGTAGAAAAGAAGAAACAGTAGAAGGACGCTCATTACAAAAGGTGCGTATAAAAGAAGTTAAGGCTACAAAAGAGTTGAATGTCAATTAATAAAGTTATATTTAAACAGACAAAAAGGTTGTTTTACACCCACTGTGAAAACAACAGAAATAGAGAAAGAAATATGTAAGCGATATATCCTTTGTTGGTACTCTATAGATAACAACGCTGCATGACGCCAAAAAGTTTCGCAACATTTTCATTATAAACGCAGGGAGCGCTTCGGACGCGCTGAGAAATTTTTCAGCATTACTGGATGGAAGGAAGGAAATATGAAAGTCAAATAAGGAACACGAGTTAGCAGAATAAAAATGTATTCATCCGTCCATTTTCTTTATCAATCTTCACACACATACACACACACAAACACATACATACATACATACATATATATATATATATATATATATATATATATGATAAAAATATAATTTTAAGGTATACTATATTTATGAGTAAAGGTACTCAATATCTGCGAAGGAATATATGCAAATATACACCGAGATCAAATTTCTTACTGTTTTCTGCATTTAAAACTGTAGTTATTCGATATAAAATGTACTTTTGTTAATTTTTGGGGTGTGTGAAACGGATTAATTGGATTTACATTAATTCTTATAGGACTATTACCTCAGATTTCTTGCGGAGTTGTTTTTTTCTGTTTGAATTGGTAGGTTTGATGAATTGGATCGTATTTATGATTTCAATGTAATAAATTATGACCATGGAATATTAGTGTTTAAGCCTTTTTATTATATCCTTACTCTGTCCTGGACATTGAGTGCTACCTGGATTCTATCCTCTCGGAATTTTTTATTCAAAAAAATATACATGTATGTGTATGCACCTATGTATATATATTTATATATTTTGCATATGTATGTGTATATTTACCACGAATATTATCTATCTATCTATCTATCTATCTATCTATCTGCATAAACAGCGGTTAAGTTTTGATGTAATTTATCTTGTGTTCTTATAATTTTTTTCTATTCTGGACAAATACTTGAAAAAAAAATGTAGTCTGTAGAAATGTCAGGTGAAAAGCTAGTCGCCTATCACCCGGTTCACACTACTACCCTCTCTTTTGAACAGGAGTAGAGGTTTATTCTTTGTTTTCTGTTTAGGATCGGATTCTCGGTTCCTTCTAAAGTCTTCTCATTCTCTTTCACTCCCAGTAGTCCCTTGTGTCTTAGTGGCATTATTTCCTTGTTTGGGATGAATCGATTAAAAAATGAAGTGTACGTTATCTTGTAACAAAATGACATCATTTCCATTCACGAAAAGAAAAGCTCTTGGAGTTCTGAATTTAGTATTTTAAAATTTCTCTATATATCTTAATACATTAATTATTTGCACGAAACTATTCCAATTTCATCAAACACTCATGAGAAAGTTTTTCGAAAACAATTATTCGAAAAACATTTATTCGAATTGTAAATTGTTTGAATGAAAATTAATCGAAAGGATAATTATAATAAATGATAATTATTCGCAATACCTATTTTTGAAATACGTATGTGGTCTTGCTTTGAGAGAGTCAATGCTGATTTACTTAGAACTAATAACGTCCTTGAAGGATAGCAAAAGGCTTTTTGCAGGAAGTCTACAAATCAACAATTCCCCCTTGCATGGAGTATTGCTGCCATATATGGCCTGGAGCCCCTTCTGTTTGCCTCGGGGTTCTTGATAAGATCCAGAGGCGGATATGCAATATAATTGGCCATGTTCTGGCATCTCGTCTACAGTCGCTCTCCCACAGACGCGCCGTCGCCTCTCTCTGTCTTTTTTTACAAATACTTTCATGGTAATTGCTCCGAGGAGCTGCATTTGCTGGTTCCCAGACTTCATGAATTCAAGCGCCCTACAAGGCTGGCATCCCGCTCTCACCCTTTCACTGACGAAACTATTAAATGTCGCCGTCTCTTCTACTCCAATAGCTTCATATCTCGCACTTCTCGCCTGTGGAACTCCCTTCCCTATCCCAGTTTCCCTGAGAGCTATAATCTCCAGCTATTCAGATGCAATGTCAATCGACATCTCCAGTTGCCTTGATCTATCCACTATCCTTCTCCTCATCCTTTCCTCTATCATTCCTATCTGATCTTGCTCGAAATCTTCTGTAACCCCTTGCATTCTAGTTGCTTCCCGCCTTGCTTGGGGTGAAGCGCTTAAAAAAAAAAAAAGTATCATCTCACAATATAAAAATTCTTAGACGCTCTTAAAAGAGAACAGGACATGCAAAAAATTCATATTAAAAAATAAGAGCAGTTTGTCAAAATATCAAGTGCACAAATAAATACCGCGACGTAAATGGAAAACTTAAAAAAATAGTTGCATCCTTTAACAAGTACTCTTCAGTAGTTGACTATTTACGTATAGTATCACCTAACTTAAGATTATAAGGATTTTTCTTGCTAAATTGTTTTATTAACGATATTTGTATTTCGAATAATTATCATTTGAGTATTTCCTCTTTTAATTTTTACATTTTTATTGCAATAAAGAATTTTGAATAATTATCATTTAGTATAATTGCCCTTAATTAATTTTCATTCAAAAAATTTACAATTCGAATATATGTTTTTCGAATAACTGTTTTTAAATAATTATTTTCGAACAAGGCTCACATGATCTGGTAGATTGCATGGCGACGAATAAGTTCTTGATGTGTATGAGTAAAATGTAATGAGCCGTAAACCAGATTAACTAAGTGTAGGATAGTCAGTAACCACCAACCATTCACCACTTCCCATTTGGCGTTGTGCCACATGAAATGTAAATATTTCAAAATAAAAACATTA